GACCTGCTGACTTGGTGCTCTAGTTGCCACCTAACTTCTGCATCAGCTGGAAAACATGGGACCCAGAAACGGTTTGTTGGGCTTGAAATCATCAGGTGGGACTCCTGCAGGCCCTTCCGTAAGATCCCAGTTCATTCACCAGCAAATGGATGCAGGTTCATCCGTCAGACCTGCCGCGCTGTCTCGGTGCTGCTGGGAACGCCGCATGTTCTGCTGTTCTCCCTCCGCCCCAATTTATGACCGGCAGGATGGATGCCATCCAGCCTGCTGCATTTTCCTCGGGAGGCGGGAAGTAGCTGTCAGGACATGGGGTGAGCCTGAATTCAGTTACAGAATCATAGAATCACAGAATGGTTTGGGTTGGAAGGGACCTTAAAGATCATCCAGTTCCAACCCCCCTGCCATGGGCCGGGACACCTTCCACTAGACCAGGTTGCTCCAAGCCTCATCCAGCCTGGCCTTGGACACTTCCAGGGATGGGGCATCCACAGCTTCTCTGGGCAACCTGTCCCAGTGCCTCACCACCCTCTCTGGGAAGAATTTCTTCCTGATACCTAATCTAAACCTCCCTGTTTTCAATTTGTACCCATTACCCCTTGTCCTATCACTACAGGCTCTTGTAGTGAAGTAGAGCAGTTCCTGCTCCCTGTGCAGGAAAGAGTTTAAAGCGTACTAAAATACAGTGTCAGCTGCCTGTTTGGGGCTCCTCTTGAGGACTTCTGCACAGCAGCGTTGGTAGCTCTCTATAAAAACCAAGCGGTACGCTTGGCCTTAGTGTGGCCGAGACTTAAGCACGTGACATTACATTCAGGTGAGGAGTCTCGACAAAGCCAGCACGCTTAACTTTGTCCACGTCAAGTTTGATTGTTCGGTTTCCCCTCCTAAAAAAATCTGCGCATGGTTTTAGTTGCTCTTCTCTTGAAATACTATCGATTACGGTTTTCGAGGTAGAATATTCTTAATTCCTAAAGCAGGTGATGCTCATTCTACTGTTTTTTTTCCTACACCTCGGGCTTCCAATGCTCAGTTTCTTCGAGGTGTGTGGCCTGCTCTGCTGCTCTCTTTGATAATCTCTTGAATTGGCTTCCCTTTAAAGTGCAGAGGTCCAGTTGGACTAGCACATGCTTTTCATAAGAGGGTTCTGGGGTCTCCCTGCAACTCCCTTCGCTCCAGCATGGAGGTGTAATTGTAATAGACAAATTAGGCCACATTTATGATAAATTTAAGAAATTTCTTCCCTTCCTTTTACTCCAGGTAGGTTTGTCTTGGTAAATATCGACAGCATGATTGGGCTTGACTACTTGAAAATCGTTTTTTTGTTGTGTAAAATCTTCAAATATGTCTTTTTGAAAGCAGTTTGTGCTGTACTGTATCTAATTTTTCATATTCAGAGTCTGCTGTCTCCTGTTCCTATCTAGTATAATAAAGTTTTTGAGCATTCAGTAAAATCATTCTGAGTTTCTTTTTGTTTATAATCTCTTTCAGTGGCGAAACAAGATACAACAAAGACAAGATACTGCAAGGTTAGTATCAGTTATTCTGCTAGCTTGTTAGAGCTGGAAAATCCTTATTTCCTGTAAAATGTGAAATTCTGTAAACCAAGTGCTGAAATGTTAAGTATTATTATGGAACCTTAAGAGACTTTATTTGTAAGCCAGGACATTGGCTTGATAGCTTTACAGAGCTGTGAAGATTCTGAGTCTCCACAGAGTATCAACACGTGGTGATGCATTTCTGGTATCAACGGGAGTATTAGAATAGTTCCTTTTTCTAAACAGGGGGGAGGGAAAAAAGTTACCTGTAATCAAATAATGCGATAGTAGCAGTTGTTACTGAGGATGCCAGTGTCCCATAGCACTGTGTTAAACCTCGGTAGTACGAAGCCTGGGAAAAGGGCTTTTGGGGCTGAGATGATAAGAGAAAGCTGCAGCTCTGGTGAAGAACCAGCCAGGTGTATATGGAGTTGGCAAGGAGCTGCAGAAGGATGGATAAAGATCATGTTGTAAAGGAGGCTGTTGCCTTTAGAAGGTGATCTGTCAGTTACAAAAAAGTCTACTGTAGAGCAAAGAAGAATGTGAAGATTGTTGAAATGTTTCAATTGTTCCATCCAAGCTCTTTTCAAGGGGCGGCAGTCTTTAGTTTTAAATGTTGTGTCTAGAATTCTCCTTAGTGACTGCTGACTGGTACACCCAGAACTGAAAATGCTGAGCTAATTGGATGTCTGTTGTAGGAAATCTGAGGTTTGCTGCTACAAGGAACCTAGTGGGGTTGTACTCTGAATAAATAAAATTTACACAATGCCACTTGCCGTGAGGAAGAATCGTGCTTCTGGATTTTCCTACCTCTGTTTTGACACTGCTCTTTACAGTTCTTGCAGCATGGCTTTGTGAATAAACCATAATCTACCACTTGATGTTCTTAGCAGTACCAATGACATCTTTTAAATTTCTAGCCCTCTGTGGCAGATGGCATGTAGTAGGTGGTTCTCCACCCTCCTGGCCGCTGTGTAGAAAGTGAACATTGGCAACTCTTAGAGTGTTGTACCTTGTGTTTTGAGAGGGGTGAGACCTACATGGTGGGTTACAGGCTCTCACGTGGCTGCATTATGGATGAGGTGCTCAGAACTCAAGTTCTGGACTGCTGGTGTCCTTGGAAGGACCTACAAGGGCTACAAGGAAGCAGGGGGGGGAATTTTTACAGGGGCCTGTAGTGACAGGACAAGGGGGAATGGGTTTAAATTGAAAGTGGGGAGGTTTAGATTGGATATCAGGAAGAAGCTCTTCCCGGAGGGGGTGGGGAGGCACTGGGACAGGTTGTCCAGAGAAGCTGTGGATGCCCCCTCCCTGGAAGTGTCCAAGGCCAGGCTGGATGAGGCTTTGAGCAACCTGGTCTAGTGGAAGGTGTCCCTGCCCATGGCAGGGGGGTTGGAACTGGATGGTCTTTAAGGTCCCTTCCAACCCAAACCATTCCATGATTCTATGATTGTCTTTTGCTATTGGAAGCATGTAAATTACAGGATTTGCTTGGTGAAGATTGTTCTGGATCTGCTGAGAAGTGCACACTCTCTGCTTTGACTTCTTCCAAAAGGAAAATGGGTGATACGAGTGTGGATTCTGCAGTTTGTTGCAGGTTTGTCCTTGTGCCACAGTTCTTAGTTCTCCTACGGACTCTGAGGTGTGGCAGGGGCACACCTATTTCATTCAAGTTGGATTACCAAAGTGCTGGTTCTCTCAGTACTGTCCTAGAGCTCTCTGGCGAGTTAGTTCCAAGGAGTACTCTGGCTGAGAACAGTTTTTGGAGGGGTTGCTGCTTTTCAGCTGGTCTTGTTCCATCAACATGCCCGCTGCGCAGCTGCATGAGTGCTAGTGTCAGTCTGCCAGGTGGAGGAGAGGAGAGGAAGAGACCACAATAAGCTGTGTTTACATCCTGTAAAATTCTTGTGAAACTGTGTCTTTGGCAAAAAGTGTGTCCCTTCTTGTTGCCTCGTTTCTTCAGGACACTGTCAGTGTTAGGGAATGGGGAGGAGCAGGCATTTCACGCTTGTCAGGACTTGACTCTTGGGATGTGCAGGTTTTTTCCACATACGCATTTTAGTGTCAGCAGCAGTACCCCAATGGTACCGTCTTTTTTTCTTATTTGAAACCAACGAATCTGTTTACAGAGTTTCAGTTGTGAGGGCGGGAAGCCTAACAGTGACCGTTCTAAAAAGGACAACAGATTTGAAATGACTACTCACATTTAGAAAATGTAGGCCTCTGGTTTATGTTGAAGTTTGTCGTATGTACACGTTAATACAGGTATCACTGGTAATGATCCTTCTGCCTTCTATCCTGCACTCCTTCGGGTTTTATACAGTCTGCGGCTGAGTTTAGGGAGGACCAGAGGAACAGTGACTTCTACGAAGGGTTGGCTTTTTTGCTAAGGGAGAAGCCTTTTATTATGACTGAGCAGAGTCTTTATTGCTGCCATGCTTATTCAGCTGCTAAATGATCTAAAATTTGCATGTCTTCATGTTGATGGGTTTTTATTTTTGTAGGTCAAGGAGTGGATGAGCCGCTCTCTGCAACTGGTTTCAGACAAGCAGATGCTGCTGGTTTATTTCTTAGTAATGTGAAGTTTACTCATGCCTTTTCAAGCGACCTCCTTCGAGCAAAGCAGGCAAGTGCTTCTTGAGGCAACTGAATGTAAATATTAGTTCAGAATTTGGCATTTAATTGCTATTGATAATGCAAAAATAACACAGTGACGGAGAGCCAAAAGCTGTTTTGAGGGACTTAGAATAGCAGTTGGCGTTGTGTAGAATTCAAGAGGGCCAATGTGAGTGAGGACATTTCAGTGAAAACAGACAAGTCCGGAGGGGAGGAAGGCCATCTTGCCTTGCAGGATGTCGTGCAGGGATGTTCTCACGGACCTGCCATTGTTTTATGTGTGTGTAGGTTCTTGCTAAAGGAGTAATTGGGACTTTTTTTGTGTGAGGTAACACAGACTGAAGTCAGCTTTTCTTTGAAGAAAGAAAACAAATTGGCTGTGGTGCTGTACTGCTTATGCACTGCGGCTACGTGCTGTGTTTTTCTGAGGAACGCGGACCAATATTGGCGAGACCAGATTTTGCTGTAAATCAGTACAAGGATCATTCAGTGTGCAGAGAAGTTGGATTTTGGCAGGAGGATAATAGCACATCTCTCACCTTGATGGGACTATTTTAATAGGTTAATTACTGAGTAGGATTACGTGTAGTTTGTGTGCAAGATTACAAAATGCTCAGAAAATTAGGGACAGGGAACTGCTAAAGGTAGAGGCATAGATCAGCGTTCTAGAAAGGTCATGTCTCCCGTGGAAGCCCTGTCCTTTATTCTCTATTCTGTTACTGATGGCAGTTTCAGGAGACATGTAGGCTTCATGGGACTGCAACTACTGTGTGATTCTTGGTAGCCCCACTGGTTACTTGCTTTACACTCTGTTGTCCTGCTGCAGAAGCCTGTGAAGCCTTGCTGTAAACCAGAGCTAGGGAGGGAGGGTGGAACACAGGGCGGGAGGAGCGCAATAATTAGATATTTTTAAAATTCCTAACAACTGCCTGACAAGCCACTTCCTTCGAGAATGTAGATAGCAGTGATTATACTTAAAATCATTAATAGTGCTTTACAATGTTCGTAAGACTGTCTGTCTGTGCTGTGTGCCTGCCTCAGGGGAATTGATTTTGCATGCTCAGCCGCCTGAGAGGGAGGTTGGTAATTTTTTCCCTTACATTAAAGAAAGGCTTTTTCCATGAGAAACGTTTGCACTCTCATAACGTCGAAGACAGACCTGAATTCATCCTTTGCGTAAGGGAAGTGTGTTTTGCCATTTGTTTGGTAAGCCATCCAGACTTTGTGGAAGCTTTTCCAAAGATGTGTAAAGCTGCAGTTTCTGTTTGGTTGGAACTCCCTTTGTTGGCAGCTGTGAAGAAGTGTCCTTTATTATGCTGTCACTTCATAGCTCAGGTATGAGAGGAACGTACGAATTCCCTTGGAAAAGAGGAAAAAAAGTTTTTTGAAGAAACTGTTAGTGGTATAGTTTTTCTTGCAGTGTCTCTTGGCTCAGCTGTAGTCAGGGTGTGTACTGGTGGCTGGAACCAGGAGTAGTAGCACGGTCCTCTGGCTACCACCCGTGAACGTTCAAGCCTGGACAGGATAGAAGAAAACAGGGATGTGTGCAAATAGAGTTGTGCTAGCGGGGCAGGAATTCCGACAGCTAAAGGAGATGCAAAGTGAGTATGAATGGGAAATGCAGAGAGAGGCTTTGCAGAGGAGCCTCTCTGAGTGACAGGTGTAGGAGGGAGGGTCAAAGAGTAGCTGTGGAAATCAGCAGTGTAGAGAGCAGGCAGACCTGCAGTGTGAAAATAAAAAAAAGACTAGTTGGGCAGACCGGGATGTGGTGTGAACAGACCGTATGAAGACTGCAGCTTTTCTGCCTCTTATGGCCTGACACGAGCCATGTATCCCATTCTGACAGACCCTGCTCGCTGAAAAACATTATGTTCTCTGTTTGGGTGGTTGGGTACTCCTGATGTGATTCACACGGGCGGTGGTGGTGTAAGCTGGTGTAGCTGTCCGTGAGAAAACAGCTCATTGACGTGACCACGCATTCATTTTTCAGACTGCTGCCACAATTCTAGGCAAAAACAAGTTTTGCAAAGATTTGGAAATCAAGTATGATGCAAGACTTCGAGAGAGAGTAAGTGCTAAAAGAGTTTGGTTTAATACTGAACAATTTGAAAATGGAACTCACCGCTGATGGGTATCTTGGCTTGCTGCATGGGAGATTTAACAGTGGAGGGCACTATTTGATGTGTTTGTAACCACTGAAAACTGCACTCCTCACATCAGGTACTAGAAATGGTTTGCAGAATTGTCAAGCAAAGCCAAAATTTAGTGATTATTGCTGTAACTGTGATGCTCTAACGATTGAAGTAAGGTAAGAGTTACACGTAGGGGAAAATACCTTAAATGTAATTAAAAGCGTAGCTCTGTTTTCTAACCCCATATGTTTGAAGATACTCCCCCTGCCTACCTTCTCTAGCCTGATGGCACAACTCAGTGTTGGCTTTTTAGCTGTTTATACCTTTTCATTTGCACAAAGACTACTGGAAAACTGTCAGATGCCCATGGAACAGTCTGCTTTCCTGATTAGCCTCTCTGTCTGATAACAGGCATAAGTGTAGCTCCTGTCTTTTTTTAAGTAATGTCTAGATCAGAATAAACTCAGATGCTGGCTGTTTCTGCTCATGAATCACCCTTTGGATGCTACTCTGAGAGCGTCAGCTGAATTTTAAGTAAGGAAATGCTACCAAACCAGAAGTGGGATGGCATATTGCCAGCAGGCAAATAAGTGTTTAAGGAGCAGAGCATGATTGTAGCATTTCCTATTTGGACCTTCTTTTTCTGTCAGAAATACCAGTTCTTCACTCAGACCAGCAAGCTCAATGCCTCCTGACCTTGTTTAGTTGCTTACTACCTGATGTTCTTGGAAATAGTGTGAGTTGGGATACAGAATTTTAGAAAGAATAATCTCAAGTCTCTGTTAGGGTTTTTTCCCTCCCTTTCATGGCATTTGTATGTATGTATAGAAATGTGTCTGCGGGCTACAGGTTCTAAGCCACTACTCTTCATAACTGGAATTACGTTTGAATTGCATGAAAAGAAGCGAAGTCCTCTGAAAGAACATATGTTGTTGACACTGTTAAGAAAGCTTTATTCTCTCATGCCTTGCTTTCGTGAGAGAAGTCTGGAAAACTCTTTAAGATTAGGATTTAATTTTCATCTGTTTCAGAGCACTTATTTCTTCACATCTTCTTTAGTGTTCTTAAATTGCCAATATTTTGCTTTAGAGAAGGAGAGTGAGAGACTGAAGGAAACCTGTTTCAGTACATTCAAATACTGAAGACTGTAATAAATTAATTATTATGTCAGCTAATTGCACATCCACAGCAAGTGGATAGTGACATAGAAGTCAAAAAAGCCTCCGTATCCTGGTTGTCAACACCTGGATTTCTGGAATGCATGTAACAGTGATTGACAGTATAGCATCAGCTCCTACTTTTTCAAAATACTCATCCTAACTGCAACGTTTTCACTGTCTTAGGATGTTCCAAGGAAAGACCAAAGCTTTCCATTTGAATACGTTTTTAATCTGTTAGTGACAGTGAAGTATTAATCATCAAGAGAAAGAAGTATTAAGCTGTTAGAGATGTGCCTTGGAAGGATCTTCAAGGTCAAAAATGGTAGTGCACATCCAAGTGTATCTATCATGTAAAATACAGATGACAAATATTATGTTTTCTGGTGCGAATTCTAGTGATCCAGAATAACTAGCTGGTATGTAAGGGTTCCTACTACTGTTTCTCATACAGGCCTTGTGTTTGGAGGACTCGGGAGTGTGTCATTGAAGACAGTTACTCTGAGTCCATTTGCATATGTTTTTTTTTTAAGGTCTTTTTTTCCTTTCTTGATTTCTAAAAACACTGTCCGCAGCAGTAATATGCCCTGAAAAAATGGAGGGAGGCCTTATTGTTTAATAGGTAGAGTACTTGTGTGTTTTTGTATGGTTGTTTGGTGGGGTTTTTTTGTATTTTTCAAAAATTCTGATTTTAAAATGGAATCCTTTTCTGTTCTGGAGATTTCAGAGATCTGTAGAGAAATTAATTGTTTCTGACTTGTAATTCCCTGAAGTCTTTCTGCAAATGAAAAGTAAATGGAGTTTATCTTCATATGAACAGCTGCATACAGAGGTGTTTGCAATGTAACCTCAATGATACTTTAACTAGGTATGCTAAGCATGAGTGTCAAGAACCTCAGAAAAATCTCAAGGCAGAGATTAGGCTGAAGCTAGTGTTTTCACAGATTCACAGAGTAGAAGGGGTTGGAAGGGACCTCTAGAGAACATCTAGTCCAACCCCGCTGCCAGAGCAGGGTCACCTAGAGTAGATCACAGTGTTAGTAATTTAAATAAGATGCTGCTTTTAATGTGTTTCTCTGCCCAGTGTATAAACACTTTATATATCTACTTTTAACTTAAATAGCAGGTACAAAGATATCTCCTCCATCACTTTTGGGATGAAATGTAAAAGGTAGTTAAGCCTGCACATTACACTTGAGAATCCAAGAAAACTAAGCTGTTAAGAGATGTTTGCATGGAAGCGGTACTGGAGACATGATACATCTTGCTAAACCCAGTCTTTGTAACTTGCCTCTTGCAGAAATACGGTGTTGCAGAAGGAAGGCCTTTGACTGACCTCAAGGCTATGGCAAAGGCCGCTGGAGAGCAGTGTCCTTCATTCACACCTTCTGGAGGAGAAACACTGGATGAGGTGTGGTATTTGTTTATTTGTGCCTTACTTTCTAGGTTGTTTCATCAGCGCAGATGCAGCTGTTCTGTATGTAGGGACATTGTACTGAGAGCTTAGCCCAACCAAAGGTAGTTACTTTCCAGGCTAAAAACACTACTTGACCTGGTTGCAGTGGCAAGCAGGGAGTCTCCTGAGAACTAAAATACTGATTCTGAGATTGCCATCATTCTTCTGCAAACAAGGGCTTCATGAGGAGTTGTGCTGGGTTCAGTCAGGCAAGA